TCAATGTTCTTGATAGGATCCTTAATTGCAAGTATCTGATCAGCTTCTTCAACCTTAACTTTTTTTTTTTCTGTATTCTTAAACCAAAAAATAAACAATTCCTTGTCTGACTTGTGGTTAATATCTTCACAAGCTTTTTGATAACAAAGCCACAATAACTTCAACATCCCAACTTAGAAGAATATAGGTCAAATGCAATGCTTCCAATATCTCTTTTACTCCTATCATTACAAACAGTCAGGTGATACCTGGTTTCGTTCATTTTGGTGCTTTCCTTCCATTTCTTATATCTGTGATTTATGCATCCAACACAGGGGAAATGTCTCATATCTTGAACTTTATCAAAGGAATTAGTGAAAATGTCTCTCAATCTTTGGGTAGTAATTGGTGATTTTAAATGCTGCTGGAATCATAATGAAAAATCAAGAGGAAATCCTATATTAAACATTAATTTTGAGACTCCAGGAATACGATTTTTGATATTGCCATAAAAGATTTGCATTTTTGGCTTAAGCTTGATTGACTTTTGGTTAATGATGGGTGGCTTCACCGTTTTTTATTATCATACTATAGAATTGAAGGTCCTAGATATTTTGATCATTCCCCACTAATTATACGGACACACCCTCAAAACAATAAGCGTCAATTCATATTTAAAATTTATTGAACCAAGAGTACTCACTTTTGGGATGCTCTTCACTTATTTCATTGCTTCAATACCTCTGGTGACCCCAACATCTGCCTTTACAAAAAGCTTCACAAATTCAAATTCCTGATAAAAATTGAAACTTTAAATCATCTCACCACCGCCCTATTCAGGATTCAACAATCTAGAGCATTAAAAAATGGATGGTTTCATCTTCTGAACGATGAATTCCTAAACCCCTCCCTGTATGCTAATGCTAGAGCATCAACAAAATTGATTGGTCAATATTAAATATCTAGAGAATCAACAAAATGGATGATTTTATCTTCACAATGGTGAATTCTTAAACGTCTCCCTGAATGCTAATGCTGAATCTCTAAGTGAATCACTTGCTAACTCTTACTCTTCTTGGGCAGCTTGGATTATTTAAAGGTCTAAAAGCTAATGCTTGACTAAAGGTAAAGATGACCTCAAATTTTTATATGGGAAGATCAAGAGGAGAAAAAAATTTAACTACAACAACAACAACATCAAGCCTTTGTCCCACTACGTGGGGTCGGCTATATGAATCCTTTTTTGTCATTGTCTTGTTAAAAGTCAAATTCTCCTTTAAATCTAATAAATAAAGAAAAGAAAAAAAAAAGGAAAAAAAAAAAACTTAACTGCAATAAGAAAATCACTACCCTTTTGAGAGGGCTTTCACTACTTCTGATGATATTGCCATTGTTGCCATCGCCGTTTTTAAAAAATTATTCAACACCCCAAACTCATCTTTAGGGATTACTCCTTCTGTCCTTCATGCCCTATCAACATTTTATTCCCTTGAACCTCATTCCCTCTTTAATTACTCGTTGTCATTGATGAAGAAATAAAAGCTATGATTTTCTCTGCATCAAAAACAACTTCTCCTAATCATAATAGGTTTGCTTTTTAATTTTACTCTAGCACTTGGGATATTTTTGGTGATCAAATTTGTTATGCGGTTAGTCATTTCTTTATAAGTAATTAATTATAAAAAAAAATTAATGTTTTTGGTATTGCTCTTATCCCTAAGCCTCATCATGCTAGTAATATGTTTGACTTCAAATCTATATCATTTTGCAACATCTTTTATAAAGTTATAAAAATTCTTTCCCATAAATTTAAACAAATAAAATCTCTCTACATTTACCCTAGTTAGGCTGGCTCTCTTCGAAGAAGGTTTTTTTATAGACAATATTGTTATTGCAAGTGAAACACTACTGTTGCTAGGTCCCAAGTCCTGGATGAGAAAAATGGAGGATTGCATTAGGTAGTCGACAGTCAGCTTAAAACTTATCGAAGAATCATGACATGAATCATTTACAAAATTGTGTTAATGCTAGGGTGTTCCATAGAAGCGACGCTTCGTATGGCCTGAATGCAATGATAGGTGTGCAAGGGCTGCTATATCGGTGTCTGGGTATAATGCTAAATAGGCAAGGGTTCTCACATCAAGGACAGATGTGGGAAAAGAAGCTAATCCATGAAATTAAAATTCGAATTTAAAATATATGTTCCCTTAGATGAAAATTAATGTAATTAATAAATATTATGATTCATATGAAGATAAATATTATGTGCATTCAGGAAACTAAATGAACTGGAGAGAAGGCTAAGGAGATGAATAGTTTAGGATTTAAACTTTGATATTTGTGTAGGAGTTGTACTAAAAATGATGTATGTGTGATTATACATAAGAGTTTAAAGGATAATGTTGTAAAAATTAATATAATTTGAGATAGAATTATAACTTCAAAAGATTATTGTTAATGCTAAGATTATTAATATTATAAGTGCTTATGCTCCTCAATTAGCTTTGAATATGATTCAAAAATAAAATTTTAGAATGACTTAGAAGAATTAATACAAAACATGCCTCTTGAAGAAAAAGTTTTTTATTGAAGGAAATTTAAATGGACATGTTGGTAGAGAGATATATGATTTTAAAAGCATTCTTGATGGCCATGGGTTTGGAATGACAAATGAAGGTGGTAAGATCATATAATTTTTTTCTTAGCTTATTTATGTACCCAACATCGATTATTAATTTTGGACTTTAAGATAAAGGAGTTGAAAATAAAAAATAGAGTAAAACGATATTCTAGGATTAGATGGGGGCATTTAAAGATTATTAACAAAAATATTTTTGGGACTAAGATTTTATATCTTAAGATTATATCTATGTATGAGGATGCTAATGTTATGTGGGAAAAAGTGACTTGTGATATTAAAAATAATACGAAAAATTCGTTTGAAGTTTCAAAGAGAAAAACTCATAATAAAAATAGTTTGTGGTGGACTAACATGTTAACTAGTCGATTACGATAAATTGGATCGGATTTTGCAGTTTTTAGTGACCTTAGCACCCTAAATGAAAATAAAGATTTTTGTTTTTATCAGCGGATTAGTAAACTGAAGTTAGAGAAGCTTTAAAGAAAATAAAGTTTGGAAAAACTATTGGACCTGATGATATTCCAACAGAGGTGTGGAAATGAATAGGAGATGAAGGATTTTTTTTGCTTACTAAACATTTTAATACTGTTTTGAAGACTTAAAAGATGTCAGATGAGTGGAGAATCAGTATGTTAATTCATATTTTTAAGAGTAAAGGTGACGCACAAGATTATGCGAAGTATAAAGGAATTAAGTTAATGTGTCATACTTTAAAATTATGGGAGCGAGTTATGGAGCGTGGGTTGTGGCGTGATACTAATTTTTCTCAAATTCAATTTGGATTCATGCCGGGTTGGTCTACTATGGCCATATATTTATTGAGAGGTTTGATGGAGAAATATAAAGGGAATAAGGAGGATCTACATATGATATTTATTGATTTAAAGAAAGCATATGATAAAGTTCCAAGAGAAGTGCTACGGAGAGTTCTTGAAAAGAAAGGAATTAATAATGCCTATATTCAAATCATTAAAGATATGTATGTAGGAGCTATTACTTGTGTTCAAACACAAGGTGGTTTGAATAAGTATTTTCCTATTTCGGTTGGATTACATCAAAGATCATCCTTAAGCCCATATCTTTTTGCTTTAGTCATGGATGTTCTGACTAAACATTTGCAAGAGGATATACCTTGGTGTATGCTTTTTGCTAATGATATTCTTCTTGTTGATAATACTAGAGATGGAGTTGAAGGTAAATTTGAATTATGGAGGTCAACTTTAGAGTCTAAAGATTTTTGCTTGAGTAGATCTAAAACTAAATATATGGAGTGTAATTTTAGTAGTAGTAGACCTAGCAAGGGGATTGTACTTTGGGTGCTTAAGTCATTAATAAGGGTACACGTTTTAGATATCTTGGATTTATTGTTCAGAGTGGTGGTGAAATAGATGAGAATATTATCAGCAGAATTTAAGTTAGATGGTTGAAGTGGAGGAATTGATCAGGCTTGTTGTGTGATAGAAAAGTCCCCTTCAAACTTATAGGAAAATTCTATAAGATGATGTTGAGACCTGCAATGCTTTATGGTGCCGAATATTGGCCATTAAAAGAGAAGCATAATACTAAGTTAAGTGTTGCAGAGATGAGGATGCTCAGGTGGATGAGTGGCTTTACCCTTGGAGATAGGATACGAAATGAGCATATACGTGAAAAGGTTGGAGTAGCTCCAGTGAAAATAAGATTAGAGAGTGTTGCCTTAGATTGCTTGTTCACATAAAACAACGGCTGTTCGATGACTCGGTTTGAAAAGTAGAGGTATTAGATTTGATGATCTCTTGGTGTTTGGCATAGCTCTTAATTGAAATATTAACTCTCTCTAGGAAATTCTAGAGCGTTTTAGGAATCTTTCTATTTTGCAGGAGGCCAAAATTCAATCTAAAATAATTTTATTGATTATAAGTTGGGTTTAAGGCCAGTTGTAAGCATATAAGCTTCACATAGGGAGTAGCTTAAAGTTGAGCACACAAGGAGATCCCGAACTAAAACTCGTTTCCATAAGAACCAAGGAGCATACTTAGTAAAGCTAGAGGTCATTGATATATGAATAGTATAGAATGTTGGGATTTTTTTTTTTGAAAAAAAAAAAAAAAGATTAATTTATGAATAGCATAGAGAACCCATTTACTTGTAATAAAACCTATATTATTTAATAAATGATTAATTTATTTGTATTTTTTTCTTTGAAGAATTTTCAGTGAATTTTAGCATTATTATAATACATTTTCATGCTGTATCTTTGTTGAGGGAAATTTCTAGATATCAGTGTGTTTTTATTCATGTCATAGGCATCTAATTTGTTTTTATGTACACACCTGATGATTTTTAGTGCTTCACTGTCGTTACTGCTATCATGATTTTTATTTTTTATTTTTTAATGCAGGTCCGTCTAGAGAATAAAATTTCCGTGCACCATGGTATACTATGTTTGAACGTTGGATCTCTTAGAATAATGGGAGGACTTGTTCAATCTCTTTGTGACGAGTGGCAGATGAGCCGGAAATACTCTGGTTTCTCTCGTTCATTGATGAGATTGTCCCAAAATGATGAAGGCCCTGGACCTCCTCCATTTGAGAAGTTGCGAATTGAACCATTTCCAAGAAAGTTTTCTCACGTCAGCAGTTCACATCGTGGTAAAGTTCATTCTTATTCAAAAGAATCACTTATGCCAATGATAAGGATCATAAATTAAGATATTCCTAGATTTTCGTGGAAAAAATCTTCCTTCATAGTAACATAGTGGCTTTGAATATTTATTTCGCACTGGCTTCCATTTCACATTTGAAGGAAGCATAATTTTACTCTTGTACTAACATCTATTACAGTTAAGAGACGCAAATAAAATAATAAATTCAGCTATTGTGAAACACCTTAAGTAAAAAGAATCTAAACTCTTAAGCATGGAGTCGTCTTTTTGGTGTAATAGTTGGAATTTCATTTAAGAAATTCCGCAGTTAAGCATGCTCGTTTTGGAGAAATCCTGGGATGAATAACCTCCTAGGAAGTTAAATTAACATGACTAAACTGTGAGGCCCTTATGTCAAAGCGGACGATATCTCAGTAGTTAAAGATTTGGACTTTTACAATTGTAATACTAGACTAGAGGGAAATACTGAGAGCCATCAAAGTGGTGACAAAAATATCTTCATGCTTGAAATATAGGAAAAGACGAGGCTTTTGAGGATCCAAAGCTTGTTTCCTCAGGAATAAAAAACGAGGGGAAAACTTCTAGTGTGGAAGTTAGGACTAAAGAAGGTATTATTGTGACCCCTTTATTATTCTTTTTATTCACTTCTGTCTGCTTATCTTTCTGGCCATGTAACAAAATATTTTTTTGCTGCACCAAAAGTAATTGAAGCTGTTCCTGTACAAAACCAAGTTGCTGCACAGAAACTCTTGCAGAAAATGGTTCAGCCAATGCATGAAGGAAGAGATCCTAGGGGTCATAAAGCCAGATTTAAGGGTAAGCAAGAAGTGGCGCCAGTCTTTACTCTTGATGAATGGGAAAGGAGGAAAGCGAGCTCGTCAAAGGCAATAGGGATGACTAATCTTCAAAATATTAATGGTGATGAGGAGCTCGCACGACAGCTTCAGAGCCAATTAGATATGGAAGATTATCAGGTTAATTTCTCTTTTGGTATCTTCTTCAAACCGAAAGCCTTAGATAATTTAGAAGAAAAAGTACCGGTCAAGTTGAAAACACCTTAGCATATATTGTTGATTGACTATTTTGCAACTGTTTAACAAAAAGAATTAAAACTATCAGGATTTCAGTCATTCAAACTGGGGTTCTGGGTTGAGGCCCCTTTTGCGGCTAATAATTTTAGTTATTGCAGAACAATCAAGGGAATGTGGAATACGAAGCTGATCAAATACGAATGAGTATGTTCAACTTTGGTGGAGCTGAAGAAAGGAATGATGGAAGAGGTGATTTCAGACGAGGAAGGGGGAGGGGAAGGGGCAGGGGAAGTGGAAGAAAAAGATTTGGCTGATTGTTTTGAGCTTTTTTCAAGCAGTTGATCTCCATTTCTTATTTTCTGGCAAGTATGGATATGCTGTATTTCTATCATATTTCAAAATTGAATTTCTGCTTAGACTAGAAATAAATAAACATGCTCTATTCTTCCCATCTTGGTTACAATAACCTTGCAATTTCACAGTTCATATGTTGAAGCTAAAAGTATTCTATTTCTTAATTTGCAGCTGTTTCATGATTCAACCATCTCCGGTGCTTGCTTCTCTCTTGTGGTCACGTGCTTTGGGGTTTTGTGATCCTCCTGAGATTGGTTAATGTACATTTCTAGAGCGATGGGTTATTGGACAGTGTTCATTTTCGTACATGTATTTTTTAAATTTTTGTTAAGATTTTACCATTATTCACTTTATTTGTGCTGAATTTCCAGACATGTTCAAATCGCAATAAAATCCTATGGTGTTTGGGTATCCCATTGATCTTGGATTTCTTTCATACTTATTAGCAGTTTATCAGGTAGGATTCCTAATATTGGGTTTTTTTTTATTATTTGAAAATATATTATATTAGGAGTGTTGCGGGCTAGAATATATGCGGCGATAGAGTTAGAAAGTTTTCGTCTCAGCGTTGTACGGATATCCAGCACACAAATAAAAGAAATAAAAACACAATGATTTTTATGTGGAAAATCCTAGAAGGGAAAAAACAATGGGGTCATGCCAAGTTGAAAAGTTATACTAGTGTTTGTTTGAGGTATAAGAGGCTGACTCATCCTTAAAATTTAGGACGAACATATTATAATAATTCACTCTTGAATTGATATTCAATTACAAACAATAATTTGAGATTCTACGATGTTGGGTATTCGGGTTGAATCCCAAAGTCACTTGGAGATCAGACATAATTTCGGTGTCACTTGGGCGGAGTTTCGTCATTGGATCGTCGGGCGGAATTTCAACATTATTTGAGCAGAATTTTGGCGCCCCGTGGAAGTCAGGTAGAATTCCGACGTCACTTGGAAGTCGGGCATAATTCTGGGTGGTGGTCGAGGAGTTTCTTCCTTCTTATCTTTTTTCTCTTCTCTTCTCCTTCTCTTTTTCTTTTTGCTTGGGTCCCCTCTCAAGAGAAATGAGAGGCTATTTATAGTTTTTTGAGAATGACATGACCCGCAAATAGGAGGATCAAGGGGAAATAGGGAGTGGTTTGGATGGATGGTTGATATTGAATCCCTTGATCGTGGACGGTTCGTCAGACATTTGAAGGTCTTAATGATACCAGAATTCAACGATCTTGGGCTTGTTGGATTCGTCTCGTCGAGTTGCTCTATTAGACTATAAGTATGTCACGTTTGAAAAATGTTTGGTAATTCAAATTAGTGCTTATAGATGGAAATGCGTATAAAATGCGTGCTGAAGTTGTTAAAGATTTGTTGATGTATCAATGACCAATAATAGTGGTAGTGGAATGATCAAAGTGTTACTAATCATTATAAGTTTATATCAACAGTCAATCAAAATTTCGTATTTTTTATGTTAGTGTTGAGGTACTCCAAAATTTTGAAAATAATGGTTTTAACCTTCCAATAGTGCTTCGGGTTCTTGATTTGGACTTATTTGGCTCGGATTAAGTCGAATTTGGTGTCGTTGGGTTCGTATTTCCGAGACATTCAATTCGACTGTAAGTTTGTTCAAATCAGTGTTCAGATGATCCCATATTTGAAGTTTCCAACCTGATTTTTGCCTTGAGATTCATGTCCGATCAAGATAATTTTTTATGATATATTAGTTGCTCCCTTATTTTCGGATGTTAAAGCTCCAGAAATTCGAAAGTACTTGTTCCAAAACTTTACATTAGTCGAATAGCAAAAATTTGCATTCCAAAAAACATAAACTTGCTCAAACTCAATCATAGAGGCTTCGTTTAACTCTGAAAGTATCAAAATTGAGTCTGAAACATCAAAAAATGTGTCTGAGGATCCAAAAAATGTCAAATTTAGACCGTCCGGGTTCAAAATCGGAGCCCGAACGCGTTTAGGCGGCTGAACCGGCCGGCCGGCCAGTAGGCCACCGGCGTCGTCGCCGGCAGAGCGGCTCGCGCGCAGTGCGCGAACAGGTGCGCCTAAGCGTGGTTTCGCGACACTTGTTAGTTTTTTAAATAAAAAAATTTTGAAAAAAATTCAAAAAATTACAAAAAATTCCAGAATCTTCCTGAAGCTTATCCTCTTCCAAAAAATATTATAAATACTCCCTTGGGCCAAGGGGGAAATTGCTCCTTTTCTCCTTCTAACTCTCTTACAGTAGAGACATTCCTCTGTTTTATGTGACTTTTCCTACTTAAATCAGCATCCCTCCTCTTGTACAGAAGTTGGAATTACTTCTTCTTTCTCTCATTTTTTTCTTCTTGCTATGAGGTTTTCTAGTATTTTTCGTAGGTGATTTTCCCTACTTAAATTTAGTGATCCTCTGTAGTGTGTAAGGAAATTTTTTTCTCCTTCCATTGTTTTCTCCTCTGACTATCTTCTTACAGGCGAGGCATTCAACTGTTTAACATATAAGACTTTACCTACGTAAATCGGCGCCCCTCCTCTCATATAGAAATTGAAATTTTCTTTTTTTTTCTCCTTCTTTCTCTACCATTTTTCTTCTTACTTAAGAGGCTTTCCACTTTTTTTGGTAGGTAACTTTCTCTACTTAAATTTAGTGCTCATCTTTAGTATAGAAGGAAATTTTTTCTCCTTCCACTATCTTCTCCTATAGCTATCTTCTTACAGTCGAGATATTTTGCTATTTTACGTAGGTGACTTTCCCTACATAAATCAGTGTCCCTCCTCTTGTGTAGAAGTTAAAATTTTTGGACTCATTTCTTTTCTTTCTCCTCCCTCATTCTAATTTTTTTATACTTTAGATATTCTCCTGTTTTGGTATGTGGTATCCCCTACTTAAATTTAGGGTCTCTCTTATTGTGTAAAAGTAAATTTTTCTCCTTGTTCTTCTCCTGCATTCTTCTTCTTACATTGGAGGCATTTCACTGTCGGAGATAGGTGGCTTTAGTCTATCAAGCTTTAGTGCTCATCTCTTGTGTAGAAGAAGTCACGATTAGAGGTTATCTTCTTAATAGACAACCCTCGATAGAAGAAGATCAATTGCTACTTATATGCGAATTGCTACTTATATGCGAGGGTGATTTGAGAAGATATGATAATAATAGTACTCAGGAGCACAGACTTAATTTATTAGCAAACAAGGAAAGTTTTGATGTTGTTCGAGGAAAAGTTTATCGGCGATGGACGATCGAGCTGAAGTCCGTTGGCAATCTTCGACCGAGTGTAGAGCTGAAGGAGAGAATGGGAGGGTGTGCGACTGTTACTAGTTGAGTGAGAAGCCGATGATGGCATATAGAAAGTGAATGATCGACGGCGAAGATCAGACGATGATGGCGTATGTCCAGTGGCATTTTGCTAAGACAATATGCATCCATATTGAAATGCGTCGACATCATATATTCTTATATGGATGATATAAATGTACTTTTTGATTTCAACTTGTTGCAAATTTAGATTCAGGATTTATAATTTTGATGATAACAAATATTTTTGATACTTCTATTTTTTTACAACTGTCTTGCCTACTAATGTTTCAGGTCCACAAGATCAAAATTGTAAATCAATCCAACTCAAGATTAGATAGATTAGGACTGAGTCAATCTGTAAGTATACATTAAGGGTTTTTTTCTTTTCTTGAGTCAAATATAACAAAGTAGGTCTTGATGCTAAGTAACCTTGCACACACACACTCAGGGGAAAAAATTCTGCCTGTTTAGAGTTTTTTTGTTTTTTTATCATATCATCCGGGGCGATCCCAAATCATCATGGACGATCCGTTAGAAACGAAAATCCTAATTAGGGCATCCTGGTTAAGGCAGCCACAATTAAACTAATAATCCTAGAGGATATGCCCAAATCAGAAAGAATCAGCTACTAGATATATTTGGACATGTTTTATTTTTGGATATTTTTTAGGACATCATCCTGGACAATGTAGTGCAATTATGCCTAAATTAGTTTGGTAATTAAGAAAAGCAATTAAGGTTTGATTGCTCGATCATATCGTCATGGATGATCGCATGATCGTCTAAGACGATCAGTTAAAATAAATCATAGTTTCTTCCTTGACGACCAGAATTATGTTCTAGACGATATTTGACATTTTGAACTAAACGGTCAGGACGATCGTGAAATCATCCTAGACGATCAATTTATTTTTCCATCGTCCAAACATGCAATCAGGGTGATGTTTTGGACGATACTCAACAATTTTGAATTAATCGTACAGGACGATGGCCTATCGTCCTGGACGATCAAAACAAACAAGTCCCTTAATCGTTCAGACTCTCCCAGATCGTCATGACTGATTGAGATGAATTTGTACTGATCGTACAGGACGATTCTTCGATCGTCTTGGATGATTGTATCGGTTTGTTGCAATTAAGAGCAAATTTGGAGCTCTTCTATATAATACATCTTGTTTACCTAAGATTGCATCTTTTGATGTTGTCTTGACTTGAGAGAGTTAAGAGGAGAGGGAGAGCAAGGGAGAGAGAGAGAGGATCTTGTGAGGGGGAGTTAGTGAGGGGTTTCACAAAGGTTGCTCCAAGAAAGAATATGAGTCGTCTTCTCTGGTCGTCATCCCTGGTTCCTTGGAGGTTCGAGAGAGGTATACTTCAACAATTGATTGAGGTTCTCTGCTGGCTTCAGAAGGAAGCAAAAACGTTGGGTTCTTTGCCTCACCGGGGTCGATAGAAAGGTGGTTTGTACAGGCTTATCCACCTTTATATGGGAGCAAAAAGAGAATCACTGAGTTTAGTGCAATACTCGGAGGAGAGGCTCCGGGCAGTGGACGTAGGTCTAGTTGATCGAACCACTATAAATTTATGTGTGTTTATTCTTACAGCTTTTCTACATTTAATTTTTGCACTTCGATTTCTTTGTGATGAATGTTGGTTTGATTTACAATCGTGATTTTTGTTTGAGAAAATTTTTAAAGCTCCAATTCACCCCTCATCTTGGTTAGCCTCAGGCTAGTTCATATGGGCCTAACATTCATAACAAACTTTCAAGTAGTATTAGAGCGGGATTCATAAAATCTAGGTTTTTAAAACTTTTAAATTTTGATCCATGGCTAACTCTAAAAATTGTAATACTGCCGGAGGATATTCTATTACCCGATCACTTTTATTTTACAATATACCTTTTAATTTTTTTTGAAAACTTGCATGTATATATTTTTACAATCGATTGACTATCGCATATGAATGCTTGTTAAAGAAAGTTATTCACATTCGCCACATGAAGTTAATAGCATAAAAACTGAACTTTTTTTTTATGAAGGAACAAATGAGGTTAAGCACTCTAGGTTTAATATTTTATTATATGACTACGAACTTTTTCACATGAAACCTACTGAATCAATATTTG